AGGAATAGACTGCAGCTCTGGCACATGTGCATGGGAGAACTGTAACTAAGTAAGTATGAACAATTTCTGTCTCATGACAAATTCTGATGTTTCAAACAGGGTTTTCATTAAAAAGATAGCACTGAAAAAAGAAACACCAATACTTCATAAAATAAAAAAATTCAGCCAACTTGCATTCAGAAATGATGTGCTCTGCAGGAAGTTAGTTGTCATCTAGTTTCTGTACTATTTTGCCAAAGGAGAGGCTGCAGGGCATCATGAAAAAATGATCCAACACAAGCAATCAATATGAGAAAAGCATGTGGCTTTGAGGTATTTCATGTTACACTGCGTACAGAACTGGTATACTTCTCATTTTATGGACCAACCTTCTCATTTTATGTTTTTACCAAGGAGGAAGACTGAATGGTGAAACACAAAATTCAGCAAAACACAGTTCCTCAGGGTAGCTCACAGTATTTTCTAAGCCTTGGGACATGTTTCTTATATTAAACTAAGATGCACTGTGAGAATTCCCTGGACAGAGGTCATTTTTGGTAAACTACTCCTAAAATCACACACACCAGTCACTGGATGTGGGCTTACTAGCTTTAGTTCTGTTCATGGTTGACTCAAAGCCAACCTTGCTAGTAATTCTGTAATAAAATCACCTTTGATCATTACTTTCAAAGGGATTCAAAAACATACTTTTCTCCTCATTTTTAGAAAAGTATTTGACTGTTCCTCATCCCATCTTTCACTGTTACTGCCACTTCAATCTTCTTTAAAAATGTAAATATATTTGCATCAGAATAATTTATGAGTTTTTATTTTCTTCTTAGATTTCATAGTCCAATTTATGGATGTGGTAAGAGATAATCTCTGTCTTCATAAGCATGCTGGATTTTCAGAATGTGTTTTGGACAGTGTAGACAATAGCATACATTAACTTCAGCCTCTATCTTTTGTCAGCATTTTCTCTAATGCAGAGAAAAAAAAGATTGTTTCAAAGAATCTAATATGAGGAAAATATTAGATTCTTTGAAAGAATTTCTCAATTGCTAGAGTATGTTAGAAATACTGCTGTAGCCAAACAGAACAACAGAATTGTGTTTGATAAAGTTGGAAAACTATGTTAAAAAAGAAAACAATAAAAATTATCACTGCACAAAAATGGAATTAAATGTTCCTATTTTATTTGTGCCTCCCTGAGAGGTGTAAATGTACAGAGGCATACACTTGTCTCTCTAAATCTCTAGCCCCACTGTAACTACAATTAAATCTAGTCTTAAAACTCTTGCCCAAGTATTATTTAGAAGAAATCTCTGAGAGATATATATTTTTCCATCTGTTCCTAATTATTCTAATGCACACAAATACTAGTAGTGAAGGACAATGACTAGAGCAGTCTTCTTCATGGCATTTCAAAATAAGTCATTTTAATAATCATGTCACTGAGATATATTTTCAGTTTTATTTTGTGCTGTGTCCCTACACCCTTCTTCTTACCTTATACATTAAAAAAAAAAAAAAGGAAAAGGATAAAAATAACTTATGATTATATGAAAAATAACTGTAACAAATCAGAAAATTTACACGTACTAACAGAGAAAAAAACATAATTAATTCTTTTAAAAATTTATTTTTCATGGCATATGACAGATACAACTTTAGAACAAGTATCAGCCAGACATATAGTATAGCAAATGGACTTCATAGCTGTATATGTAAATAGGTATAAATATATAGAAAAATTTATTCCCACTTTCTCTTCTCACCAAAGTGCTTTGTGTAAAAACTATTACACAAGATGCTGCTTTCTTACAGAAGGACTTTTTTACTTAAATACAATCTCATCCAGCTAATTTTAAGTTGTTGACTTTAGCTTTACCTGATCCTAAAAAATGGAAAAACATATAAAAATTTCACACAATAGACAACAGAAAGTGCTATTTGAAAAATTTTGCTATAAAATTATATAAGGAAAAGAGGATAAACGGTTAAAATGTAATTTTTATATTCACATATATTCAGAGAAAATTGAAAATACAATATAATTTGACAGATAGCATCTGGAATGAAATACTTCAACATCCAGTACTAGTAAACAGCAATACCTATGTGTATGCATGTATAAATATACGTACATGTATACATAGAGAAGGAGATTCAAATACATGCACTTCCATGCACTCAAACGCTCACACAAATACCCAATGCGCTATCTGAACTTTCAAATGAAATGGGTATAGACCCATTTCTAATGCAGTGAGTCTGAAAACAAAGAAATGTATGAAAGAATGATTGTAAATAATTTCATTAGAATATTGTTTAATGTCCACAGTCTAAAATAACCTCATCATTTAGACATGAATACCTTTTGAAAATTAACATTATCCAGCAACTAGAAAAATGACACAAAAATCACTGAGGCACAAGTATTTGCAGTAACTGGCACTACACTATGTATTTTCACAAGCACCATTATTTTTTTTTTAATAAATGATAAACACAATATCCTACTTCAATATTCAAAATACATGAGATAAAATATAGTTTCGTTGTTTTGTTGTTTTTTTTTTTTTTCTTTTTTAATACAGTTGTGCTCAGTAATATATTAATCTTCCAAACTGAGTCTGGCTGGAAAAAGAATAATGATATAATCATTAAGAATCCCCCTTGTCTATGACACATAAGTAAACAATGGCATACCATTTTATAGACCAGTAGCCCACAGTTACGTGCTTAATTAGACTGTATAGCTGCTTTTTAAGACTAAGGATCACAGAAAGCTGTGCACTGTATATGCATATCTGTGCATATGAGAGAATGAATGAATGATTTATGAAACTTTCCTTTTTCAGATGTAACTGATGTATGTGCAAATCACCTTTTTTGAATTCTGTTTTCCTGCTTTTCACCCATAACTTGTCCTCTCTACTGGACAGCTTGTGCAATCAGACACCCAAAGAAATATTTCAGAAGTGTTAATACTAACCCCTACCGAACACTAATAATGACATGTCACCAGCTGGATTTAACTCCATTCACCATCACTCTCCCTAGGCCCGGCCCAGTTCTTTACCCAGAGAGACTACACCTGACTAAGCTATTGACAGCTGTACTCCTGGGGTCCTGTGTTGCCAGCTTCCCTACAAGCATACTGTGGGAGATAGAGTCAAAGGTTTACTAAAGTCTAGGAAGATTACATCCAATCTTTTCCCTCATCCAGGAGGCAGGTCACTTGGTCATAGAAGGTCATCAGGCTGGTTAAGAAAGATCTGCCTTTCATGAACCCATGCTGGCTGGGCCTCATCCCTGATTGTCCTACACTTGCTGTGTGATGCACTCAAGATAATCTGCTCCATAACTTTCCCCAGTACTGAAGTTGGGCTGTGAGGCCTTTTGTTCCCCATAATCCTGTTCCTGTGTATAGAAGCCTGGTGTTATTTAACCCAGTGAAAACCACATATGGTAACAACAACTTACTAATGCAAGCTGAAGCAGAGTGACACATTTACTTGCGATGTGAGAAACAGAACAAAAAAGGGAAGAATTTAGTAGGGAATTCTCTGCATTTAAGCCACAGTTTTACTTCTTGGTTTAAATAATTTATCTACATGGTTATCTACTTTGCACATATCGAATGAAAATCTCATATTAAAATATGGAAGCACATACGCTTGTATGTAAGAACATAATTCAGGAATACAATCTTCAGAGGATTTCCAGCGTTTGTAAATGTCTGCACATAAATTTGTCTATGTAACAGAACGGCAAATTAAATAAGGAATTTGACCGAAATTGCATTCAACAACTCTGTAAAGCTTCTCAGGATAAGAAAATCTGTGCATAAACAATTTTTTTTTTAACTGATGAGTGATTTCAGAAGCATAGTTACCATCTAGGCAGTGTGTAAGAATCTCTGAATATTTTTCCATTCTATTAAAACAGATTGTAAGAATATTATGATGCACACTATGCTGAGTGTCCACAAAATAGACCAAAGTGGATTAATAATCTTAAAAGCTCAGTCTTACATGCTATTACAGTTACTCTCAAGCTATATATCACCACAGTGATGATATATCTGTACTGCAAAATACTGGTTTTAACACATCTCTTGTGGCTTACACAGGTAATCTAATTTTATAGTACATTGTACAAAATACATGAACTAGAGCCAGTCACTGAGTAGAAGACACAAAACCAACAAGTCCAGTTTTACATTTCTAAGTAATCACAGGGAACATAGCAGACTTAAGAGTAGTACTTTTTTTTTTTTTTTTTTTTTTTTTTTTTTTTTCTGGAAATGCTATGGATTGCTTTTAAATCTATGAAATTTAAGGAAAAGTATTTTGAATTTTCCTACAGAGCACTACAGCACATACAGCAATAAAGCTCTACACAACATAGTTAAAATCAAAGTTAGAACATAATCTTCTTTTCTAGCTGTTGTGCTAAATAAAGATTATGTCCATGTATATTCTCAAGTAGTGCATTTAAATATTCTTATGAACTGCAAAAAAGAACTAGGTCAGAAGAAATGTTGGAAAGATACCAATGGCCAATGGCCACACTGTATTGTTTAAATACAGAGGGATGGGAAAGTCACCTAAAGCAAGGCCTGTAAGGATCTAGAACCAATGCTCTTTGGCTTCAGAAAGAAGATAAACACAGGCCTCCAATGGTAATACCAGGATGTATGTCTAATTCCTCTCCCTTTTTTTGTTGGTGTATTTTTAACTTCAGAAGCACCATATGCAAACACACTTTCAAAAGTTGTGTATCTTTGAAATGTTTGCAGTATATTCTGGTTTTACTTCTTTTCTTTTTCTTTTTTTTTTTTCCTTTTTTTTTTTTTTTTTTTTGTTTTTTAAAGGAATTTTCTAAAGTGTTCTTCTCAAAGGTTACAGCTATTTTGGATTATAACCAAAAAAACAGTTTTCTTATTCAGTCTTTGAGTTCCCTTTGAGAAGTTAAAAAGAAAAAAAAAGTAGAGTTGCTGTGCCACAGAAGAAAAGAAAATAAACAATTGCTAAGGTTTTGGCAAAATTTTCTTTTTCCAAGTGTTCTCCTCAGACGGCTGCCTGATTACAGGACGAATGCTTGGTGATTTCTTTTCCTCTTCAGCGTGTATGTTTATCCACCAATATTCATACAGCATTTTTACGGAGAGAAAAATTTTGTAGAGAAATATCAAAAGGGTAATATGAATGGAATCAGGTTCTCATTAGAGTTGGATGATTTTAGCCTTCAGTGTAGACAGAAGAAAGCTGAGGGGGACAACGATCCACTGCATTTATTTGTAGGAAACTGCTATCCTCTGGCACACTGTTGGTCGAATCACCGAAGACACTTGTGGACTCTGCTGGAAAATCATAAACTGAGAAAATACAGAAATAATTAATTAAAGGACAACTATATCACAGAGAATACCCTAATACTTGGACAGAGAATACCCTAATACTTAGGCAGAGAACTGGACATTGCTTCTAACCAAATGGACAAACAAAAATGCAAGCCAATGTAGGTATGAAATTGATAATTACATAACCTACTGCTTAGCAAGGGAAGAATTTCAGTTCTATCAAATCTGAATTACAGCAGACTTCATCACAACTAATGTTCGCCCACTTAATGGATGCTTCAATTACTATATTTTATAATAAGCTTCATGCTTTGTTATTGAGTTTCACCATACTCAGTGAATGATATGTGTTGTCAAACTCAATTGTCATAAAGCAGCTCCTTAACAAAGAAGTTACTAATTTCATCATATGACAGATGTAAGCAAAGGAATAACTGCTTAAAATTTTTCATCTTCTTATACTGTGAGACTCTGCTCTGAATTGACATGGCTGCACTGACTCTTCACTGCATTACTTAAGGATAAGATGTAAAAGAGATTTCAAAGCATAATAATCATTAAGTGAAGTCATCCTGTATGGAAAGACAAGAAAAAATAACAGCATCATTTGCAATTAGGCCCTATGAGCAGATTCATTGTCTGATGTGCTTATTCTCTGCAGAAAGGTAACTTTCTCCTCTCCAGAGCAGCACATATGCCCCTTAGGCATTTTCAGTTAGGAAGAGATTAAATTAAGTGTGAAAAGAAAAATGTGCACTCGGGCACTTAGTGTCATGGAAATGTGACTAAATGAATTTCAAAACAGAAAGCAAAATGGAGGGTTTAAGTCATCTCAGTCCCTGCTGCAATTCTTCTACCAGACTGGAGTGGCTGCACAAATATCATACAAGTCTCAAAGGACTGTATTTCAAAATGAATACACGAGCTAGTGACTCTCTGACTACTAGAGAAGATTATACCCTTGAGAAACCCTCAAAAGCACACTGTTTGCATGTAAGCTAGATCTTGCAGTGATCCATGGTGATTGTCCCAATGTCCATCATCCCACAAAGATTTGAAAACCACCTCCTCTTTGCAAAGAGTCAACTCTTTCATGACTGTTCCCAGACATATTCATAGCTGAAGCAAATCTAAAGACAGAAACTGTACACAACCATTCAGAAAGTTCCCAGCTGACATTTACCTGTAATACCAGAGTGAGCTGAAAAAGTTCGATGTAAGACACCAAGTCCTGCCTGACCCACTGATGCAGGAAATAAACATTCTTCAAAGGGAGGAACCATACTGCAAGAAACATTGTGTTGTATATTCTTCTGAGTGTCAGGATAATGTGGAGGGCAGAAAGTCTGAAGCTGTCCATAAAAGCCTAGAGGAATGAAAATAAAGTGGTCAGTAAAATACCTGGATAGAGATTATAAATGATAGTATATGTAATGTTGACCATGAAAAATGAATGGAGAAATCCTCACTGCAGTACCACCAGGATTTCAGTTTTCCATTTTCCAGTGGTAAAGCAGCTTTTATATGATGATCCCCAAGACTTCTTCCAGTTTCTGTTAATTCCTAATGCATTTTGTTTCATAGTCTTTCTGGTCTTGACATGATTTCTGAGAACACTGACTGACTAGACTAGATTTCTTTAACTCTGCAGTCCTGCTGTCTAAACTGGGAACATCCAGAGCTTGCACTTGGCTACTGCCTGAAGGATCTAAATAAAGAGTTAATTTAAATTAATGGAAGGTTAGTCAAGGAAAGTGTGAATAAAAAAAGCAGACTCAGTCTTGCTGAAAAACTGAAAAAATGAATCCAATCTTGAGGAGCTGCCACTGATGTTCAGACAGCTGGTTGATAGTGGGGATGCCTGCGACACTCTGAAAGGCTGCTAGCTAATGATCCATGGGGCCTGCTATTTGTTTGCACAGGATTAGAGTCTCTCTTGCACTTCAGCAGAATATGATAAAAGGCCTTTGGGTTCTCTGTAAGAGTAGAGAAAACATCAGGGAGCTATCCCAGAAGATAGATGACTGTAAGTAGAAAGCAGAGAAGATCCTTTTATGGAAGCTTGAATCATGGAATCACAACCTATTGATGATATTTAAGAGGGATATGTCTAAGTATCTCATGACACCATCAGCCCATTTGTTCATTACTACTGATGAGAAATGGAGCATCAACTTATTAAGAATAAAGACTTAAGAATAAAATATCCTCTAAAAATCAAAATTTTGTGTTTGTGAACTTCCAAACCATCACACAAACAAACCTTCCAAAATCATGTCTCTTTACAGAGGTATACTATGCTTAGAAACTCACGATGATCACAAAGCAGCTCATAAACTTCTGCTGGGTTGGGGGCCATGACTGCTGTTTGCTAAAGCTGCGCTGTGTCTATATACAGATAAAGTAAATCATAGATAATATGGATGGAAAAGTAAAAAGGTTGCAGTGTGAAACATGCAGTAACACTTTGTCATCTGAAATCTGGGAACAAAACCCTCTGACTCTAATGTGGTGTTAAAAAGAGGCATTCCTTTGTTCTTCACAATGCACACTGGACAATTTGACAAGCAAGCACACACTCTCAGAGTTCAGGTTCTACATTTATACAGTTAAGACATACATATGCAGTATCTTAGCATACATACTCTTTTTCAAGGTCTCATAGATATGTGCTAATGTCCCTTGGGTGTGCTCAGCGGTATTTAGGGTGGTCAAGTGCCCACCTACTTCTTCCCCTTTTTTCACCATCAGCTTCATCACTGAAACCTTTGACAAACTTTCATTCACTTGTCCCCAGTTTGGAAGATTTCCATTGCTTATTAGGCTTAGTAGCGAGCCACTTTTGTATGAAGAACCTGAGGAAAATGTCCTTGCATGTTTTAAGCAAAAGATAAAAGTATTCTATTGTGTCTCCAGTACTTCTTATGAGGCTAAATCATTGAGGCAGAAGGTAGAAGTATTCTGTTATGTCCCCAGTGCAAAATTATTGAGGAAAAACAAGACTAAGTTCACCCACTAAAGTTAAAATGGGAAGTTTTAGAACTATCACTTATGGATTCATTTTGCTAAACTAATATATTGGTTCTTAAACTAATGTACTAAACCCTGTTGCTAAGCAAACCAACCTATACCAGCTTTATATAATATTACTGATTTTCTGCCAAATGGGAGGAAGGATGCATGGTTTAGCAGTCTTACTACTCAAATTATTTTTCCTTTGAGAATATATTTATGTGGTCTCCTACAAGGAAGCATAAAAATATTGGCATGTATAACATATGCATGATCTGAGACTAAAAACTCATAGGGCATGAGGACAGGACAGGATCATGGACAAGAAAAGAGCCTGAACCTATGCACAGGAACTTAGAACTTATAGAGAGGTCTAGGTAACAATGTTGAGTGAAATACAGTGCTTCCGTTTTAAGCTGTAGTCTTGAAAGACAGTTCTGGGTACACAATATGAGAAAAATGTCTAATTTACACATATATAGCAAGGGTTTAGGCAGAGCAGTTTCATGGAAAAACACAGAAACAATAATACTTCACCTTCATACAAAAGAGCAAAAGAAGAAAAAAAATGAAAGAAATAGTAAGAAGAGGGGTTCATCTTCAAAAGCAACCTGCAAATGTGTACAGTAGGCATGAAGTCACAGGTTCTGCTCTCTTTAGAGAGGCTGAACGCTTGTAGGTTTCATTGTCTTTTTCAGGGGCTGGAGGCACTTGGCAGCTGAAGCTCTAAGATGACAGTTTCAATTTTTTTTCTTTTAAACTTTAACTGGAACAAAACTGAGTCATACTTTGAAGCGTGTTAGGAATTTACAACCTTTTCAATTCTTAAATGTTCAATTCTGACATTTAAGAAACATTTGAAGCAAAATAAAATAAAACGAAAGAAAAAAAAAAAACACAATTGCCATCTAAAAATTGACTTAGAAATAACATAGCTATTGACAGCTTTTGCTTTTAAAATCAATTTTTTTTTTTTTCTCAGCTAGCAAAAGGACACACTCTGAAAGTTTACTGTTTAGTCAGACAAGTTACCAGTAACAATTATTTCAATCTGATGGTCTGAGCCAGCTGGCAAGACCCCTCAAGACACATGCTGAAATGTCCTTTCATACTGCTCTGCACTCATTCTCTATTTGTGCCTTTCTCACAGCATCCTGTTCCCGATGCAGAACAATCTGGCAATAACTTTGGCAGAAAAATGACTTACCTTGGGGTTGAGCTATTGTGAGTCACATCCTCTATGTTTGCACATTCTCTACTCCAGCAAAAGAATATTGTCTAGAAAAGTCTGAGAAGCTTTAACCCATTAGCAATTAACCACCACGGTGTAGAGAGAACTAGGGAAGTGCATAAAATTCTTTCATTAACTGATAAACCAAGTCCCCATCTATTTTTCTTTAGAATGGAAGAGCACAGAAAAAATCATTTTCTTTTTGGAATCCAGTGTCATAGATATCCGTCTTATACAATAGACAATCATAAACAAGAAGAATCAGAAGAGGGGACATCATTTTCTGTCAGTCAGTTACTTAGCACTTTTCCAAATGTCTTTCTCTATTTCTGCAGTGCAGTCACAGCGTAGAGCTCTTTGAACTACAATCCACACATGACACAGCAAAATCTAATGATCTTGGGACCTTTTGACTTGGTTCACATGGTGCTATGTACAAATTAACTGCACCACTTGCATGGTGCAAGATAACATGAAGCCATAAAAAAATTCTATATTCTGACCATACCTGATCCTTCTTTTGAAATTACCTGTTAGAGAACTACCTGTAGCAAGAGTTTCCTACATTTTCACACACTTGTGATAAAACAGAAAAGGGAGATGGACTGGGTGATAAACTTCCAGAAACTGAGCATATTTTCTCAGGATTGCAACTCTGAATTGTATCAGTTATTCATTTCTAAACTAATTAAAACATACACATGAACGACGTACACACAAGGTTACATCAATCATGTTTCTCTGAATGCATACACTATCTCCAAGATCAAAGAAGGCATGACACAGAATAAACAATAATTTTTTTTCTGGTATGATTACATTATTTCCTGAGGGAAATTAAATACTTCTAAATTTAATGAAATTGTGGAATATTGCAAGAATCTCTTCTAAAAGCAAGAAGATTTTGTTGTTTATCACATGCAGAGCCTTGCCCTGAATGATGCTGAGCATCTGAAAATCAACAGTACACAGCCCATCTTAAATTCGCTGTTGAAATCCTGGTCCACATAAGTCTGTGATAGAGTCCTGATCTCACTGAACAAAGAGGGACAAAGATTTAATTACAGATATGTCAGAGACTGTGACTGCCGTGATTATCATTTCCACATGGTAGGAAGTTTCTGACTGACATCTATTTCTGTCAACTGTCTGCTTGGCATCACAAAGCTTTCTCAGATAATATTTTCTTAAGGAAATAATTACAATTGCCATTGATAAATACACATTGTGAGTGAGTATTTTTTCCAGTTGTCTTTGCCTGAATTGCTTCAAAATGGTATTCTTTTCAGCTCAGTTTTACAGCATTCATTAGGTTAATTACACAGACAACAAGTAATCATTTAGTAGTATTGGAATGTGAAGAACAAAAGGAAAAAGAATGACAGGGAAGAGCAATACAGACATATCACACATTGTACTGCCAGATGGACTTGCAAATTTGGAAAGCTAGAAATGTTTCTATTTATTTAAATCTGATTATTGTTCATGAAAAAAATTAAAAAAACCAGCTTACTAATATACCTGCCTTATAGTTACCCTAGTATAGCTAACTCATATCAGCTAAAAATTTTTCAAAGAAATGGCGGCCTCTGTTGCGCTGAATATTTTGCAAGAGTTTTTTTTTTTTTTTTTCTTTCTTTTAGTATTTTGCCAGCATTGGTCATCATCTTAATTCACAAACACATGTATATAGTCTACTACAGTAACAATAAAACAAAACTGGCACATTCCTTTTTCCCTTCATTCTCACTCACAAAAAGTACCTTGGGATCAAGTTTTATGGCTACCCCTAGGGAGACTGTTTACATCATGGAAAGCAAACAAATGAAACAAGCCCTTTTTTTCTCCCAGTATATGTTTCTTATATCTACTGTGATAATTCTCAGGAAGCTTGATCAAGAGGCAGAATCCCAAAGACTATAAAAATGCAATATGAGGTGCACCTTGTGTATGTTAATATGACAAACATATACTTAAACAGTTGAAAGGCAACAGTGTTACTTCTGTCAAAATATTTCTGAAATGCTATGGTTAATTACCATTCAGGCTTCGCACCAGATTAAAAGAAAAATTGAAAAACAACTTATATTGATTTCAGCTGCTGTTAATTTTCTTCATGACTATATAAGTCTGTATTTGACTGATCAAACAGAACGAAAGTTGTTTTGTAGAAACTGTTTACATAGTGCAAGTGGGAACACAACTTTGCGAGACATGTATGCTAATGAAAGAAATTTACACAACTGCAAGGGATAAAAATATTCCATTACTTGAAAACCTGGTAACACTTTGTGAGAAAAGTTAGGAGTGATAAGAAGTATAACAATATTAAATTAAAATTGGAGACCAACACATAATTACTTGCAGTTCTATTTCAATAGCAGCTTTGAAAATCAACCTGAAGCAAAACTCGTCACTCCATAGTAAGATGCATAAACATTATTTAAATTATGAATTTCAAGAAATCCTGAAGGCAAGGTCCTAGAAGACAGTATCTTTCAGAAGGAAAGGGCCCTTGAAATACCAGCATCAGCACTTGCAACATTTTATTTGAAGCCAAGCAGCACTGACAAACAACTAACATCCATGATGAAGCTTCTTCCTTACCTTGGATGTGGAGACTATTTGGCTGAAAAGGGTTTGATGCTGACTCGTATGTCTTTAGGTGCATTCCAGAAGGCTGCTGAAGATGAGGAGGCTGTGGAGTCTGTCTCTGCATCATGGGAGGAGGAACTGAAATTCTTTGGGGGCTGATGTGTTGAGGAGAAGAAGTCAGAGCAACAAACCTAGGAGTTCAGAAACAGACAAACCTATAAAATGCTGAAACTTTAAAGTAAGCATCGAAGATATTTTCTACTTTACTTAAATCACTATAATGCTTAGCAGTTTGCAGATAAAAAATCTTCTAAAAGAACTGTGTACAGCCCAAATATGGAGAAGATATATCCTCAAATCACAGAATCACAGAATAGTTGAGGTTGGAAGGAACCTTTGGAGGTCCTCTGGTCAATTCCCTCGCTCAAGCTGGGAGACCTAGAACAGGTTGTCCATGACCATGCCTGTGCCAGTGGTTGGTCTTCAGCACAGTAAAGAAATGTTCCCTGATATTCAGACAGAACCTCCTGTATCAAATTTTGTGCCCATTTCCACTTGTCCCAGTACTAGGTACCACTGAAATGAGCCTAGCTCCATCCTCTCAGCATCCTTCCTCAGAGCCCCCTCATCTCCAGGCTAAATGGTCCCAGCTCTCTCAGACTTGCCTCATAGGAAAGGTGCTCTGGTCCCTTTGTCATTTTTATGCCCATTGTTGGACTTACTCAAATACCTCTATGACTCTCTTGTATTAAGGAGACCAGAACTGGATGCAAAACTATTTTGGCCTCTCTTGTGCTGAGCAGAAGGAAACAATCACCTCCTTCAAGGCAATAATTTGTCTAATGAAGCTCAGGATAATATTTGCCTTCTTTGTGTCATGGACATATTGTTAGTTCATGTTCAACTTGATGTCTACTAGCTCTCAGGTACTTTTCTGCCGAGCTTTTTAGTGACACATCATTAGCTTGGATAATTGTGAAATGAAAATGCTGAATTTTTGCCTTGTGATGGAAATCTCGTTTCAACTGCTGTAAGTAGGTTTTAAATACTAACAGCAGAGAAAACTTCATAGGGGACCTTATTTCTGAGGCACTGCCTGTTGTGTCATAATAAGACTCTGTGCCAGCTATATATATCAATAAACAGTTGTCCTTTCTCTTGGGCAGGAAGTGGTCTGCTCTGGTGAATGGACACTGAGCAGATGAACAGCAGGTTCAAGTTTCGAGTTCCAGAAATCCCTGTTTAATGTATGTTGCCTGAAACACTTAGAAAATAATCTGGAGGCAGTATCATGTATATGAAGGCAAGTGTTAAAATGTTTCCAGTTGAGATGACATCAAAATGTTGATTTGGACTCAAAATGTAAATTTACAAGCCTGGCAGTGGGAGAGAAAGGTTCAGAATGAGATTGATGGTGCAGCCACCATAGAGGTTTATAATTTCATCTGCTTATTATACACTGCTCTCTCACTACTGGCACTACAAGGAGACATGCAACTAAGCAGGAGGATTTTATGGACATTGTGTATGTTGGTTTTTTTATCTGTATGTCCTTTAAATTGCTTATCCAAAAGAACATTACAAATAGGTGACAGTCATTTTTGAAGAGGGAAGGCTGTGGTTACAAAACTGGGGTCACTCGCCCATATGACCAAACTACCCACTAGACCAATGGGACCAGATCAGTAAACAAAAGCTCAGCCTGGGCTCAGGAATGGCTTGCTCTCACTTTCTGATTCATGCGATGAAAGCTGGAAAGGCTATTAAAATATTCCTGCAGGAGGATGAATGAATACTGACGTGGCATTCCTACTGCAGAAAAACCACTCTGCTCCCAGAAGTAGGCTGCCAGCTATGCTGAGCAAAAGCACTACCCACTCTTCTAGCACGTAAGCTCAGTGGCTGCTGATATGAGACTGTTGCTTGCAGTTAACACAGCCCGAAAGGACCCTAAAGTGTCAGTCTGATCCCTCCTAAGACTAGACTTCTGTACACTATATAACATTCTCTTTCTTCTTGTAAGAAAGAATATTTTTCCTGTAGAGGTCTAAAGAGGCTGTACATTCACCTTGAGTACAACAGATGATGCAAGTCCAGTAGGAGCACTATAGAACACCTTTAGAAAGGGTTATTGTACAGATAATCACAACTAAATCCAAGACAATTGAAGTATTTTAAGTTATAGCTCAGAATCAGTTTCTGCCACACATCATTTGTATAATTTTGACCTTACCTGAAACCTATTTATTACATTTATTACATTTTTGGTAGATGCATAACTTACATTTGTGGTATAGCAAATGTTGAAATTTTTGTATGATTTACTACCTATTCAATTTTCTTAGAGAATTGAATTTTAATTATGTTACTTGCACCTTGGATGGACTTTGTGCTGATTTGCTGTTAGCTTCAAAAAATACATAAGTTACTGCATAGTTGGAGGAAATGTGTCAGCACTGAGTTACCGAGTCTTTAATGCACCAAAAATTTCTTTGTTCTACACTACTGATGCAGTACACACTTAGACATACCAGGAAGGAAGAAAACAAAGAATGATGCATTTCACAACAATACTAGACAATAATTTTCAGAAAGAGATAACCAAATTGTTGTATTGTGCTGAAAGTATCAGGAAGGTTTTCAAAGAGTGCCACAACTAACTGGTCTCCATGAGAAAAGACTGCAGTGAGTATAGCAATCCCACAAAAAGAGTGTTAAATGCTGCCACAGATAAAGAACAATTTACAGTAAGTTTTTATTACTATGGTTATTTGAAAAATCATTGGATATGATCCTCGGTGTTGTCACAGTTTGTTTGTGAAAACTGATTTCTTAAAAATGGTTTTAAGCAGCTGCCAACAACAGGCAAAAAGTCCTTCTCAAAACTCAAAGAGAAAAGGACAGTTTTAAAATTTTCACATTTGATTTAACACCTAAAAGACCCTCCCAATGACAGTGCTCTACTTTGTACAGCAAGATAGGACTCTTTTTCAATAGACTCTAGTGGTCTTTATAATGATTTATGAATCACTTCATGAATTCCTGGCTTACTCATATGGGTGACTATAGTTATCTACTTATACTTCCCCTATGCCCAACAAAAGAGAAACTTGGACTTGTCTCAGTCCAGATTTGTTCCCAAATAAACCACAGTGTGTTACTGGGGGTACTGCAAATTTAATTTTGCTTCTGGAACAATAAGGACTGGTTTGTAACCACTAGGAAATTGACATCAATAATTGTTGCCAAGTGCTGCAGTCCATGTGGTCAGGAACCAGCCAGATTTGCAGAAGGATGCCCTCACTCACGCTTGCTGGATGTAAAATCACAGGAGGACTGTTTGGAGCTATCAAGTAGCTTCTTCCTTTCCAGTGTTTGCTAGGAAAAATGTGTCCTGCCAGGCAATGACTAGATCAGACAGTAAGCAAGATAAATAAGAAAGTTTCTAAATTGTACCTTCTTAGATGAGACTAGTTAAAATGATGTATATGTGGTCACTCTGAAAGTAATGCCTCTTATTTATTTGCATAGAAACTGCAACAGATATCAGAGTACAATAACACTATTTGATAGAGAAAACTTTCAGCTACCAAACTACTTTTTCAATGCAGTTACCACCATTGCTATGCATTTTCACCAGCGATGAACAAAAGCCTGCATGCTGCACTTTTAAAAATCTGCACCAGAGGAGGTGGCCCACACAGAAGGTCTTCCCTCACACCCTCTGTGCTTCCTCCTCCTATAGAAATCATCTCTTCAGCCCTCTGATGCCCAGTTCAGCAGTGCTAGTTCTTTACAAAAATGAGTGTCAAGGCACTTGATGTTTTGGGTGAAGAATGCCTTGGTAAGGTACAAAAGGTATCTCCCCACCACATTAAACACTGAAAATAAACTTTCCGCTTCCCTTGCCTTGCCACAGCCTCCCTAGATTATGTATGTAATTTACATTTAGACCAACCCTAGTCAGTAAGTGCTAGAGTAAAATATTTTTTTTCTGTTTATTCTTGACCAGTACTGCTAAATAACAAAATCTGTATATACAATGGCTGCTCCAAAAGTAATGCATCCTATTTTATTATGTTAGTGTTGGTGGTATGGCAGTAAAGGTTGAACCTTCCCACCAGTATCCTATTCCATTTTGTTGCTGTGTGACAGATGGCAGCAGAGGGGCAGTCTCACAGAATGGTGTGGATGGAGAAAAATTGTGTCACTGAATTCCTCCACATGGTGAAAATTGCACCTACTAATATTCAATGGCACTTGCTGAATGTTTCTGAAGACCAAACAGGGGATCTGAGCACAGTGAAGTGGTGGGTGGTGCATTTCAGCTGCGGTGACAGCAACAGCAGGTCACCTCCACTGGTGAAGATTTTTATGAGCGTGGCATGCAGGTTCTTTTTCATTGCTAGCGAAAATGCACAGATAATGGTGGCAACTGTTGAAAAAGAGTATTTTGTAGCTTTCTCTGTTGAACAGAATTATTGTGCTCTTTGCATCTGCCATTATTTCCATGGAAATAAGTAGGAGGCATTACTTTCAGAACAACGTATAAAAATTCAAATACCAAACTATTCTTTGAGCTACAAGAACATTGTCAGTTTCATATCCCTTTTTTTCATCTCAGTTTTTGTACATTCCTGCTTTTCCTATGTGTGCTGTTTCAGAGTTATAAAAGAAAAGTGAATTTGTCTAAATTTGAGAAAATATTGTTATTCCCTATTACTTTAAATTCTGTATTTCTATTTTCCCACTTAGTAGTTTGCAGGGAAAATGGTTAATTTCAGTTATTTTGCAGTTTCGAATAAATTCTGCAGGAATTATAACAGCATATGAAACTGCTTAGGCAACAAATAATATGCTAAAAGTTACACTGAAAAAAAAAGTAATTGTATTTGTGTATGAATAAGGAAAGAAGAGAAGACAGTTTATCATTAATTTATATTTGACTATTGCACAGGGTCCTAGTAGTGGTATTATTTGAGGTAAGAACTATATAACTATGCTGGATATTGCTTTATTTAAATTCTGTTTTTTATTTTTGCTTTTTTGCTTAGACTTTACAATGGAAAATAAAGTAATATTTTTACATATAATCAATTCTTATGATAGCTTTCAATATGCTTCCAAAATGGAAATTAAATATTACAGCTGAAGACATTGGTCTTTTATTTCTTCAGATGTCCTATTTTTTAATTTTTTTTTTTAACATTTTTTAATTACACTTCATTATGTTGCAGCTCTGGGAACTGGTTGATTATATATCTGTTTTTCATTTGTAATTCTCAGTAAACCAACAAACTGTCAGTGACAGTCAAATAAATATAACACAGGAACACTTGTAAGGAAACAAGGTGTTCAAGGCCAGGTTGGATGGGGCCCTGGGCAGTGGGGATGTTGGTGGCCCTGCATGTGGCAGGGGGGTTGGAGCTTCATCATCTGTGAGATCCCTTTCAACCCAGGCCATTCTATTATTCTATGATTCTATGATCCTATGATCCTACGATTCTATGAAAGCTTTAAAGCACATTTAAAAAAAATCAATAATTTCCCCAAAGTTATGACTGGATTCTCGTAGCTTTGGGAAAATTATTGATTTTTTAAAAATCCTGATTTGTTTTACCTGCCTATGATAAAATATATTTATTTCCATTGACTTTAAGTTGCAACTGATCTTTTCTTTTTTTAAAGACAATCTTTTCTACAACAAAAATAAATGTATTTTGGCCAAAGCAAAGCAAAATTTTTTCCATATTTTTGTTCAGCATGCTGCATGGCAGCAACTCCAAAGGAAGTTTCTATCCCCACGGTTTCTTGGGGATGTTGACTCCATTTACTAGTGCTACATCTTTTTTACCAGTCATTAACAAGCATCTAAAAATCCTTTTCATGCTGCAAGTCCACTAGCTTTAGAAACACAGGAATTGCTCTATGAGATCAAAGGAGTGGTCCATATAATCAAAGGAGGGGCAGGAGAAAGAAAGACTGGGCCCCCAGAAAGCACCAGAAGCGTTTCGGTGAGAAGAGTGGAAGAAGATGGAGATAAACAAAAACTTTACCATCTTTCTCATCATTTTCTGTGGCATCATTTCCTGTGGCCAAACTGTATTAGAAAACTCGGTTTCAAAAGGAAAGAGAGGATGCACGGACAGAACGATTCCAAGCTCTGCTCTGGCACATGTTCACGATTAGACCTATTGCCTCCTCCACTCTTTATTATCTGCCATTTCTAAGTGTCATTTGCTCACTAGCAAAAAAAAAAGTGATAATGTTTCAGCAGCTAAACCTCCCAAGTGTAGCAAACCTGAAAGAAATTACTGTGCTGATTTCAAAACCACCCTGTTTGCATCACTAACTAAAGACTATCTTCAAGTCAGACCCTTGTATGCCACATACAAAGGGCTTTGTAACATGATGTCCCAACTCCTTGGTTAGAAGCACTCAGAAACTTTTGCTTCTGGCATGGAGCTACTTACCATATTACAGCAAAGGCATAAAAGGAATATGACCACACACTCAGTTAATCAAAAAGAGGCACTGCCACAGAACTTATAATAGCATTTCAGTAATGCATCACTGAACAGTTAAGCTCAAGTGCTTTTTCCCAGCTTCATGTAGTCTCCAGGAATTCCAGTCAAGCCAGGTTTTGTCATGCTTCAGGGACATACCACTAGCCCTGATTTCCAAAATGGTAAAAAAAAAACAGCTGACGTGCTCTCACCTTGGCTAATACAAAATATGTGTGCAGCTTTTGTGTTTTTCTGTTGTTGTTGTAGTATGTTTGTTTGTTTTTTTGTGACCATGAAAGTTACTATTTAGAGTTATTAGAAATAATTTCAAGCATTCAACATCATAAGTTTTGTGGCACTAAGTTGCAAATTAAATATTCTACATAAAAACAGAACTGGTTTTCTAGTTTTTCAATAGATTATTTTCTTCTTCAGCTTCCTTGAAAGCCCATGTTTTCTGTTATTACAAAAATCAGTAAAAACCCAAAGATATATCTTTCATAAATATGACTTAGGGTACTGTAACATTTTGCTATCTTCATTGAACAGCTGCAATATTTCAAACAAGGGAAATACTGAAAATCAGAACTAGCAAGCTGCAACAAACGAGTGTAAAGTTGCATTTTTATTATGCATGTTCTCCACTTTGGTGAATGAAACAGCTTTTTAGATCCATGCTCTCTAAGTTGCACTCAATACATAGAGCTTTGTACATGGAATAAAAACAGCAGGATATGTGCCTCATGTCCTGGTTTGGTTTGGTTTCTCACATTAGCAAGTCTTAATTCAGTTCACATTCACACTCCCATCACCTTGGTGGAGAAAGAAATGAAGCCTTCCAATTATTTCTCTATCCTGCAGTCCATGAAAAGTAGAGAAAGTGCTTATTTCTTTCTGACTGTCACTCAAAAGCCTGAGCATGCTGTCCAGAATGGAAGGGGACATATGAATAGCTCCAGAGACACAGAAGTTACCAAACCAGCTTAGATAGGGTTATAGATGCAAGCAATTGCAATAGTGTGTGCATGTCAGTTCATCCTAATTCTGGAATGAGCACAGACACATGCAGCATGTCAGGAACTGCATACCATGAAGGGATTAAATCCCCTCTTTGGACACATAAACCCTGAAGTACTATCAGTAATAAGATGGACCTTCTGTGATGGACCTATCAGTGATAAGAGCTCCCTTCTGACTCAAACCATTCTATGATTCTCTGGGGATTCACACGTTTCAAAGCCGTTTATGTCATGCATTGTATGCTGAAATGTTTGTTTGTTCAGCTCACATTTTCACAGTTAGCATTACATCCAGAAAGTAGTGAAAGTGACAGATAACTGCAGGATCTTTACACATGTGAATTGTATTAGATTCAAAATACAGATTCTTTATTAGTTTTTATTTTAAGCACTCATCTTAATTTGCATTATGTGTTCTGTAATGAAATGAAAACTGCTATAATGCATTTTTCCTTAATGAATTTAAATTGCCATATGTCCTATTTCTAAAATCAAGATACTGGAATTGTTTTTTTAATCCAAAGTAGCTCCATAGAAAGAAAAAACTTAAACTGTTTAGAAGAGAGCATGCACAGCTAACCCATGACAAAGGACTATACAATGCAAAATTTTTATCATTGTTATTCATGTAGGGAGCAGTAATATTCTGAGATCTGTAACCCATTCAAGACTTTTATGAGTTAAGTCATACTGTAAATGTATCTATATCAACTGAAAATGGTGCCAGAAATATAAATTTATGGTGTTTTTCTTTTTTTTTTTTTTCAATCTTGAAACCTATTCTACCTATTCTCAAACTCCTGTATCAAAACAGAAAGCATAGCTGTGTATTTCCTGCTGTTTAACGTATGTATTAAAATGCATACAATTATTTGCCATTCCTTGAGTCAGCACTGTGCAGCACAGTCCTCCCTGAGCCTGGTCTTCAGTTGGCACAGCATTAATAGCAGCACACTGATGGTCTGGTTATTGCTGAGCAATGCCTGGGGCCACTCTGTGGGTGACAGTTAATGCCTTTATAGTGCAGGGTAGGCAGCATCCACAATGCAAGCTGTTCCAGCCCACAATAAGCCTGTGAGCCTTGGGTTAAGACATGCCTTGGCTAATTAGAAGATCACTGTATTTTATCACAATGTAATGCTAGCTATTGATCAGTCCCTGCCTGTCACCTTGTGCTCTGGTATTTGTCGAAGGAGGATATCAGACAGAAAACTATGTTAAGAAATAAAAGACTGTGGGGCAAGAGAGCATAAGCAGTTCCAGAGTTTGCACACAAAGCTGGATCAAGGGAAAAGAGTCAGTAGTGTGTGGCCAGGAGAGAGGAGGAAGAACTGAGTTATTAGATGATAGTGAAATAGCAGTCTCTGACTGATGCATCAACAACTTGCAGTGGCTCCAAAAATAACTGAATTCACTCATGTGATCTGAAAATGAGAAGCACTTATGCCTGTTATCAGTTCCCTGAACCATTGTGCTCTTTCATCTTCCTGATATAAAGTGAAGTAACTAATGCTTTCCTCAAAAAAATTATCAGTAATCAAAATCTAGAGAGTGTTCTTGGATTTATAATTGGACTCTTTGTGTTCTCCAAATTACTGCAATTTTTATCATACAAGGAAATTAAACACTTTGAAATATATTTGTAACATACAGTAATTAATCATCTAGAGCACTGAAAAATAGTGAGATTAAAAAAATGGTTTTAAGTAATCATATAGTATAGTAAGAAATCATTATTCTATTTGCACTGAAGTGTGATAATGCCACATGCTATACAAATAATTGGAGATACTGATGAAAATAATTTAGAAAATGTCTAAAACATTTTAAGCAATTTTCACATCACTGACATATCTAAAATCATTGAAGCAGCTAAGGGTTTGTACCTAGCCAGCATAAAGTAATTGCTGACTATAAATCAAGCTCTCAAAACAGTGAATTAAAAATAAAACCTATTCATTATCTGTTAGTCTTAATAACAGAAAAGATGATAAGTTCCTGCTGAAATAGTCTGTATTAAGACAATACTGAGAGAAAAGAGAGAAATTTATCACTCTTCTACTGCAAGCAAACTAAAACATGAATCTCAGGATCCCTATTCCAATAGGTGTTACTGGGCTCCTCTGATGTTTAAAGTGTTCCAGCCAGTTTGACATTCCTTGCTTAGGGCGGTGGTAGAAATCAGAAGGAATTTGGAGAAAGACCCTGAAATAGAGATGGACAGGAATTCCCTGCATCACCACCAGGGTGGTATAATAAAGTCTCTTTCATCTCTCCTTCCCTGGGTAAACTCATGCCCAGAGCAACTGTTACCCCAGGGGCTACCATCAGCAACTTCCTGAACAGCAACAATTCAATTTCTGCTGATTCTGGCATTTCTGAAAGTGGTCCTGACTCAGCCGTGGGACAAGCAGGAGGTGGTCTTACCTCTCAGAGTCTGCAACTGAGAAAAGGGATAACTGGGAAGAAGGATGGAGAGAACTACTCTGTACGTTACATCCTGGGGAGGGGTGGCTGCTGGGCTGGGACAAGGACACTGCCCCAGCCGCTGTTCCACTTCCACTTGTCTGCATTCTGGGGAACACGGCCACTGAAACCAAAAGGAGAGAAATAACCTTCATCAGGCAGAGAGACAAAAAATAGCTAAATAACCTCTGTTGCTACCAAACAATGTTCTCATGAAACCAGGAACAACATAGTTGTACACCTTGTCTTGGGAAATTTGACTGAATGAGCTGCAATTCTTCTATACTTTCATAGTGTATAAGTATCAAATATATACTAATAAATATTTTTCAGAACTAGCGAGCAAACTGAAAGCACAGCTTTTTAAGTAGTGAAATATTTCTATATTTTTCCATCTGTAAATATTCCAAATTTCTTGAAGACCTCAACCTAAACACAGATATTGCTGTTATTGCTTATAGACTGCCTAATAAAATATGCAAAAATATGGAACTAACCTTAACAGTTTCATAATTTTCTATGAGGTTGCTTTTGCATGTATTTCAAATAAGGAAAGGCACTAAATGATTAAACTAAAAGCATTACAGGACTCCCTCCAAATTCCCTAATGAGTTTACCACAAAAATCCTGTAATCTTGTTTTCAAAAGTTCTTTAAATTTGGAATTAAGACTCTAATTACCAAATCCTTTTGACAATCCAGTTACTCAATTATTTTCACTGACATTTGTGTCAGGCAGTTAACGTTGATATTGAGCAGCAGCCAAATACATGCTCTTTATAAATTTTTTAATGAATTGTGAGAAAGGAATCAGATTTAAAAAAAAATTTAGGCTGTTCACAAGAGGAAAATGAGTCGTCACTGGTTGTCATATCTTTCAGTCTTTTTATAAAAAAGCCTAGTTTACGATATTAAATTATAACTATAAAACTTTTATTATGCTACTGAGCATGTTGGAACTAATGATTCAAATTTATTGATAAAATTCTAGAATTTAAACCAGTTCCCCAAAGGGTGCTATCACTGCTATTAATGTCTATCTATAGCTAAAACACTTCTATGGATGCTGCTGTCCTAGCAGAACAAACATTCTTCTTCGGACACAATCTTCAAAAAAACTATTTCTGAGGTCACAATTCTGAATGTTGCTGTCCAAGATTGTAATAGCTGAAGCCGACCTCCTTTCCCAACTCTTCAGCTTATTTCTGTAATTCCTCTCTCATTGTGAGCCAAGCGGTGTGATACACTGTATGCTCACAAAGCTAAAGCAGAGTTAAGGAAAGGTTCAGGAGTATAATTATCCTGCATTTTGATCACAACAAACCTAAGCAACCCAACAGGCTTGGGGAGGAGTGGCTGGAAAGCTGCCTGGTGGAAAGGGACCTTGGTGTACTGATGGACAGTCAGCTGAATATGAGCCAGCAGTGTGCCCAGGTGGCCAAGAAGACCAATGGCATCCTGGCTTGTACCAGAGTGGTAAGCAGGACTAGGGTAGTAATCCTGCCCTTATACTCTGCACTTGGTGAGGTCTCAGCTTGAGTACTGTGTTCAGTTTTGGGCATCTCAATACAGAAAGGACATTGAGGTGCTGGAGCAGGTCCAAAGAAGGGCAACAAGGCTTGTGAAGGGCTTGGAGAATATGACCTATGAGGAGTGACTGAAGGAACTGGAGTTGTTTAGTCTGGGGAAGAGGAGGTTGAGGGGAGACCTTTTGCTTTTTTTCAATATTTGAAAGGTGCTTACAGCGAGAGCAGGGTAGGTTTCTTCTCACTGGTGACAGGTGACAGGACGAGGCCTCAAGTTGCGCCAGGGTATGTTTAGGTTGGATGTCAGGAAAAACTTATTTACAGAAAGATTGTTAAACACTGGAATAGGCTCCCCAGGGAGTTGGTTGAGTCACCATTCCTGAATGTATTTAAAAACAGTTTGGACATGGTGCTCAAGAACATGATTTAATGGAGGGTTGTTAGAGTGTTAGAGTAGTATGGTTAGATTGTGGTTGAACTTGGGGATCTTTAAGGTCTTTTCCAACCTGAGCTATTCTATGATTCTGTGATTATGCTGTAACCTCCTTCAAGAACAGACCTGGACATGTTTCAGGTGGTGGAGCTAGCAGTGAATGAAAGCCCAGACAGGAAGCCACTCTGAATATAAATACCTGACATTGACACCGTGGAGGTAATTTAAAGTAGGCATGAATCACATTGGTGGGCAAAGCTGGAGGAATGGAGATTGTTCTACAGTGTCGCAAAGATGGCCAAAAAACCACCTGTGACTACCCTCTGCTCTATGCCCTATTGTTTGCTAATTTTTACATGGATCACAGCCTCCTAATGCCAGTGCAAGTCTGCCAGTGCAATAGCTCACATCTGACAGTTGAATATCTCCCAAAACTTGGAAAGACACAGAGGATGCAGTTCACGTGGTGAAGTGAGGGATCATTTAACCCAATAAGGAATAATTCAATAAGAAAGGGATCTCTCTAAGATAAGAGCAAGGTAGCTATAGCTGTGTTTTCACTTTCCTCGTGTACCCCCAAAAATCATTCTGTTCAATCTTCTCAGATTAGTATCAACAGGAATGCAGAGGGGAAAAAAGGAATATCCTTTAGAATTTGACATATTTTGCTTACATGCAGCACAGGAGGAAATACTGAAAAGCAAGCAAGCATTCTGACAGAATAAATAGAGAGAATATTTAATGTAAATCAGTAAATTGCAAAATAAATACAAACTTAGAATCTCTGTTCCAAACAAAAGCATGGATAATTTAAATTGCTCCTTGGAAATATAGAATAACTTGTATTTTTTAAAATGAGAAAATAATTGGCATCCATAAGAAAATATAGCAGCATGGTTTTCTAGTACTGTGATATTTTTCTTTAAAACAAATTATTTCAAGGCTGTAATAGAGGAAAAAAGTGTGGACTGTGAATGTTATTCCCTGTCTTAAACAAAGGTGAGGATTTCAGGTAGGTATTCCCTAAGCCTGGCACATTTTCAGCCAGGCTTGGCTGCAGTGGTAACACAGGTTCCTACAGCTGTACAGGGGATCTGGCAAAAACATCTCCCTGTAGCCAGGCACAGGCAACCATCTGTCATCGGCAAAAACTGTTTTCTCTTAACTTGAGCAACCTAAAGCCTGCAAATACTCTGCAGTATTCAATAGTACATTTTTGCTGTATTTCCCAGCAATTTCTCTGTATTTGTTTCTGTTTCTGACAGATGGACAGTACATGGCATAAAATAAGAGATAACTATAGCAGGGGCCAGAGGAGAAGGAACAATGTTTATGGAAGAAAAAGCATAGATATTGTCCGCAAAAACATACTTGTGCACATGCTATGTTAAATGATCACAGCATGACAGAGCAGCATTCCTGGGCTCCCACAGAGCCTTGTAATGAAGCCCCCAAGAGCAGCGGCATGAATGATGTTGTGGAAGACTCACAATGCCCACAGATTCTGGCAGGTAGCATACCAGTAACATCTCTGTGGGCATGCAGTGAAATGAAATTGCAATGCCGGCGGCTCCTTCCCAGAGGAAATGCTACCATGAGACTTTCTAGTGAAGACATGACATTGGTCTATCTGGAATCTGGTAAACACCAGTAAAAGGGAAAGACTGTCAGCCTCTGGCAGTTCACAGACTAATGGCAGTGAATAACTACTGTCAGTGACAGGTCATTTTCCCAGTAGGGTAGGTCTTAATAACAAACAGAAAATTCTGGATGCTTTTTAAGAAAGTGCTACAGAACTTGATCACTTTCTGTTGGGAGCTGTGTGTATGGCATGCTTTTCTAGTGCTTCAACAATTTGTGCTGCTTGTGTGAACACAGGTTCCCATTAAACATCTGATTTGAATGGTATGAAAATGAAGAAATGTTCATGGTCACCACCATTCTCACTGACTCCAATCTTGCCACTCTCTGCAAGAAAGACATTGAGACCCTGGAGTGGGTTCAAAGAAGGGCAACAAGGCTGGTGAGGGGTCTGGAGCACAGGCCTTATGAGGAGTGGCTGAAGGAGCTGGGATTGTTCAGTCTGGAGAAGAGGAGGCTCTTCTCCAGCAATAAGAAAGACCTTATTGCTCTCTGTAACTACCTGAAGTGAGCTGGGGATCAGCCTTTTCTCTCGTGTAACTGGTGATAGGACTAGAGGGAATGGCTTCAAGCTGTGCCAGGGGAGATTCAGGCTGGATGTTAGGAAATACTACTTCTCTGAAGGAGTGGTCAGGCACTGGAATGGGTTGCTCAGGGAGGTGGTGGAGTCACCGACCCTGGAGGTGTTCAAGGAACATTTGGGTATTGTGTTGAAAGATATGGTTTAGTGAGAACTATTGGTGATGGGTGGATGGTTGGACTGGATGATCTTGTAGGTCTTTTCCGACCTTGATGTTTCTGTGTTTCTGTGATTTTGTAACAGACTGTTAGCTAGATCCACATAGAAAGATGTACAATTAAGAGCACTACTTAACAAAAATGTTTTTTCTCCTGAGTAATACAAGATAAAATAATCCAGAAAGAGCAAAAGATTCAGATTAAAAAAAAAAAAAAAAAATAGAAAAAAAAATTGAAGTCTCAACAGAAATAATTTTTTTTTTAGAATATAAAAATTTTCCATGAGAATATCTCTGTAGAGACATTATTTCTATGAGAAGCTAAGTTCACATTCATTCATGCACAGGAACAACTTGGGTGGATAGGAAAGAAAAAGCTAATTGTGAATAAGATTCTTTTAAAAAACTGACAGAAATGAAGCCTTTAAGAAGATACAGAACCCAAAGCTTTTTTCTTTTAAATGAAGCCAGAAAACTATGATTTCAGGTAACATTTTTAAAAAGAAGAATAATCACCCTTCTCCTTTGCAAGTTATCAACAATTATATTATTTTATAATATAATTTTATTAAATTATTTTATAATATACCAACAATTATGTTGGGTTTACTATTGCAAAATCTGCACTTTGTTTACTTCTACCCCAAAATATCTCTCCTCTTACCACTACCATGAATTTAGAGAACATTTCTATATAGCATTCTATAAAGACAATCTGTTTTACTGTTAGGCATACTTTCATTAACTTTTTGTTCGTTTTAAGCAGATCTCTTTTGTTACCTCATATTGTATTAACAGGATTACACTCAGTTTAGATTTCTTCAATGAAGTCACAAAGGCCACAAGAGCAGGAAAGCATTTCTGCAATCTAAAGTTTAAGTAATACATATGTAATCAATAAGATTATTTCATATTTTTATCTAAATATATCTGTGTCTTCAGATTCTGTATCTGCACAGAGACACAGGAATCATACTAGGCACTGTTGCACTTCACTAAGTGGAAATGGACTGTTATCTAAATGTCTTGTAATCATATTTCTAATAGTTTGCTAATTTCTAATAGTTTGCTTCCAAATGTGTAAATCTCTTAGGAAAGAAGAAAGCCTTCATTTGCTTTAAACGTACATAAAGTATGAGAAAAGCAGCCTCAAAGTGAGAGACATTTGAAGGCATTGGAAAATGGAAATTTATTTTGTTTCTACTTGAAAAGTGGCACAAACATATTTCAGCTAAAATGTGCTATATCAGTTCCTTGTAGAAATCATATGCTTTATTTTTTCAGAAAAGTCTCAGTGTTTTTCTTTATGCTCACAAAATACACCCTTGTTTTCAGAGCAGTTGGAAGAGTAACTTCTCAGTGCAAGTAAATGTAAGCTTTCAGGTGTTTTGCATTTCATGTTTGGGGTATTAATAATGTTGTCACTCCTACACTATTCCCCAGTACCAGTCCCTTCCTTTTGGACATAACTGACTGTAAGGGAAATCAGCTTGCTACTTACAGAGAAGACCCAGAGATGCGGTAGATGACCTGTGACAGGAGACATTCAAAGTCAGGTTGGTCAGGTTGCTCTGATCAATCTGGTCTAGCTGTTCTTTGCAGGGGAGTTGGACTAGAATCAAAGAATCACAAAATCACAGAATCATAGAATCCTTTAGTTAGAAGGGACCTTTAAAGGCCATGTAGTCCAGCTCCCCTTCAATGAATAGGGACATGTACAGTTAGATCAGGTTGCTAAGAGCCTGTCCAGCCTGGGTTTGAATGTCTCCAGGGAAGGGGCATCTACCACATCTCTGGGCAGCCTGTTTCAGTGCCTCACCACCCGCACAGTAAAGGCTTTTTCTTTATATCCAACCTAAATCTACCCTCCTTTAAGTTTGAAACCATTTCCCCTTGTCCTATCACCACAGCACCTTCAAAAGACTTTAGATAACCTTTAAGGGTTTTTTCCAACTCAGCTGATTCTAAATTAATGGGAAAAAAAAAGAAAAAAGAAAAAAGAAAAAAAAAAAAAAAGAAAGTTGATTAAGTGTATAAAAATTGCTATACAATGGAAACAATCCAAGTAAGAAAAAAACCGCACCAAATGATTACATCAAAGACTCTCAAAAATCAGTAGTGCAGTAAATCCTATCTATTGACAGAGAAGACATGAACAAGATCACAGAAAGTATGCCACAGCCTCAGAAGTTGTCTGTGGGATATGATGATCACAGACAGCTGCCAGCTAAGAGTTAGCTGTAGACATTTGCTTCACTTGGCTTAGGAACCTGACAAGTCATAGGCAGCAGTTTGTTCAGACACAGTCAGTCCAGATTCACCCAGAAGCCTGAGTTTTAACTCCAAATCACAGTATGGAAGCCAGGCTTATTGAAGAGCTCAGTGCTACACAGAGTACATTGGAGATCTCTAAGAATGTCTTGAATTTCTGAAAAACTCCCCATATAATTTCCACATTATTTATGCACTGAGTTTTTTCTTCTCTAAATGTAAGTTTTGCAATGCACTGGGTTATGTCAGTAAACAATTTTTATAAATCTAAATGTTCCTCATCATCCAGCTCCTTCTCAAAGTACAACATAAAGAAAGCAGATGTAACTAATACCATGTCACTAGAAGCTCCCTGGGCACCAACAGGTCTTCAAATTCTGAACTTTCCTTAAGCCCTGAAGTAACAGGTGCCACACAGACTATAATCAGACAAAGGCATTTGGAGGTTAACAGATTGCAGATAATATCAACTACTTTATAAATTAGGATTTCATAGCTTTAAATCACAGCCTTAAATTTCTTGATTTTTGTCATATAAGCCTACATAAAAATCAACCAGTGCATAGTTCATGGCAACCTCTACAGAAACATATGATAGAACTGTTGTGTTTCCAAGGCTGTCAGTAAAATAAACCACTTACTGAGGTAACCACTTAATTTAATGTCATTTTCAGCACTTCATATATCATTCAGCCAATTCTTTCATGTCCTACATCTGGTCCTCAATTAGTAGTTGAACTGCTATAAGATGTAATGCATTCTGTCTTAAATTTAAAACCAGATGTCTTCACAACTACTAGAATACCACATTAAAATGTTAACATCCTACTCACTGTTTTCTTGAGGTTTGAGATGTATTTTCACTCCTTACTTCCCAAATGTTTCAAATATAGCCAAAGCCTGAAAATCTACTGTACGTTTAGCCAGGTATGTCAGTTTGATGCATTAATATGCAAATCTCAAATATGTAATAAATATAAATAAAAATATAAAATAAAAATAAATATAAATAAAAATAGCACTATCACATTTATAGAACAAATATGCTTATTGTTGTACTTATGTAATATTAGAGTTCATAATGCAGCATTTAAGTTCACTGATGTAGATCTACTAGAAAGTGATGTATGATTCATGAATAATGAAAAGAAAAAACACCTTTCTTAATTCCAGATGAATTCAACAGTTCAAGCTGCCTACAAGAAGGCATTTGTAGAAGTGGGCAACCTAATCTCATGGGTGGAAACTCTGACCACAGCAAAGTGGTTGGAAGTAGATTTCCTTTAAGACCCCTTCCAATCCAAACCATTCTATGATTCTATGGGGAAGTAAATTGCTGCAGTATGCCTATAAAGGAAAAATGTTATGGTAACTCTTTTCAGGGACAAAACTGGAATTTTTCCCCTTCTCAACAAAAAGACAGATACGAAAATCTGTTTTATAATGTTTCATATTATTTTGCAGATTCTGTTCCTTTCATAAGATAGACATGAATTTTAGAGTACACTGTAAATTAATCTTTAATCCCAAGCAAGCAGTAATACAGCTTTTTCTTGTTTTTTCTATACCTGAGTAAATGTCATGAGCAGGACCTGGGGAGTGTCCCATTGCATTATTCACAGCATTGTGTGGTGATGGTGCTGTCTGGAAGGGATGGATTGTGAGGCAGTCATTCAGGATGTCCTGTCCAAACTCTAAGCTCGATCGCAACTGCAACACAAGAGATAAGAAACAATAAACCAATATAATACAGATAAATAGTAACGAGGAATGAGGAGATGTTGAGAGGTTAGATAAAGGAATTGAGAACAAGGAGAATTCTTTTCTTTTAAATTCTGATAATTATCCTTCCATTACAGCACATATTTCTCAAATGTGACAAAGGGAACTCTGCCCCATGCTTAACAAGACTGTACTCAGGACAAGGGCAACTTGTGCAGAGTGGACCTTGGACAGATGAACTTATGTGTAGCCTTTTGCAATGTGAAAGACAGAAGAATGTCCCTGTTCATGGATAATGGAGACTTATCAAATGTCTGTGATCTCTTCTATCAGCAGAATGACACTATTCGAAATACTGACATTTTCCTGCTTGTTTGGCATCCTATACTAGCTCAGGAAATGAGGGGCTGGGAGTGAACAGTTAGGCACAATATCACTCACTGTGGTGAGGATGAACATCCTCACCATGAAAGGTGAGCAGGTCTAGAATATAGGCCAACACATACAGCTAACTCCTAAGAGGCAGAAGAGAAATGACAGGACTTTCTGTCCATCCTACATTCAGATGTGAAGAGACAATAGTAGAAAGGAAGGATTATAAATGCAACTGAGAAAGACCCATTACTGTGCCACAAAGTGTTGATACTCATTCAAATGATTCCTGATGACATGCTCTACTAAAAAACTGTTTCAAGAGAGCAGCATTGGTGTAACACATTTTAAGCACCGCAAGTATGGTGACTATAGCAGAAAGGTTACATTTGCAGACTATGTATGTTGAAGTTTATTTCTTCTCTTCAAAATCCAGTGATTCATTATTAAACCTGAAAATAAATTAACTTTTTGAGATATATTTATTATTCTAGAACATATCTAAATTGTAGAAAAGAAAGAAATAGGAAACAAGGAAGTGAGAAAGACTCTGACAAATGCTTTTCATTTATTATCCGAATTTACAAGCTGCAATAGGTCCAGATGTTTCTTCCAGAGTAGCATGAACGGTTGTCTGATATTCACTGTTACTATTTATTTATTTTTAATGCTAATATGAGCAACGTGCTTTTTTTTTTTTTCATGAAAGGATGTGCATATGAAATAAGTGACAAGTATATCTAGAATCAAATTCTTATCAGTTATATTTTTTGTATTATGTGACTTTAAATTTATATGGAATCTATGATAAAAATAAATATAAAAAAATCTGAGCTACTAAAAATCAGGACTCTTTCATAAAAAATAAAATTTTATGGATGTTGTCTTAGTAAAGTTGCATGTTTGTGACTTTTTTTTTTCTCAGTGAGTAAGAAACTAATCAGTTTTGTGTGATTGGATGGCAGTCACTATGGATAAAGTAGTGAGCAGAGCAAGGAACAAAATACTTACACACAAGTTACTAACATTACATAACATGATCAGTCAAATGAGTGCAAGCCTATTTTGCATTATTCAGGAAATTTTTTTGGACTTGCAAGCTCTTTTACACTGAGAATAAATCTATCATGACAGGCTATACAAACATAAATTTTCTGGCTTGCCCAGTAGCCAATATTAATGCTTATGTAAGTCAACAAAAGATAAAGGATCAATAACAAAAGCAAATAAAAACAGTGAAATAAACACTGGAAGACAGCTGTGATCTGACTTTTGAAGACATTTCTAAGTCTCTAAAAAGCAGAGATTATTGTCGTTTCATATTTACAACCACAAGAGCTGGAAATACAGATTTTATAAATTTACATGTACAGACATGCATGTACTGCACATTAAAATACACAATTTTTTAGAAGGAAAACACATTTATTTAACATACGTGTAATGAAATTTCCTGAGGAAGAGATGAGAGTTACACTGATTTGTGCAAGTACAGAGAATCTGGCACTAAATGTACTACCAAGTATTCCCTCTGGATAATAATAGTTGTTGGGAATAACTTCACTCTTTTTCACTGCTCAGTATGTATGCAGGTTGCTATTTAGGAGTAACTACTGTTGCACCATCAGAAATGGTAGACCATCAAAAATGTTCTCTGCTCTTCTGCTTAGCAGACTGGCATCAGACATGGGTAAGCGTTGTTGTACCACAAGGAGTCAGGAAATCACAACTGCTTCCCAAACTACACGCAACTTCTGAAAAACTCCATTCCACACCATGACTATTTTCTCCAGACAGATACAGTAATCATATTGTGCCTGCTGCAAAAGTACATCCACAGGACAGAACCAACTTGCAAGGTATGACTTGTTTATCAAGCTGCAGCATCTGGGAAAACAGCTACAGCCACAGCAAGTTCTCCACTGCTTTCAAAGTCTGTGCTTTGCAGTGACTATGCTAAAAAGAATTGGTCACTTGTGGTTTCCAAAGTTTTGCAATAAATTGTGTGGATAAATTCCTTAAACACCACTGCTCATTCCTAATCCCTTTTTTGCCAGCATCCTTTTCAGGAGAAACGGCTGCACTCCACGGTGCCTGATTTATATTTCATTTTGAAAACAGGAAATAAAGTGATTAAAGTTGAGGATTAAAACACTATTTTCTATTTTTTATTTTTTTCTGTAGTATAGTCTCATAGTTGCCACGGGCACTGCTCACTGAACCTCAGCCCCTGAATGCACTTCTTTTTGAATTAATGACATCTTTTAAATTGCCTTCACTGAGAACAAATAAGGGAAAATATCCTTATGTTTAACTGCTCTAAAAGCAAGAAAATAGATTTATTTCCTCTTCTCTACATCCTCTCCCCTATGCACTTTTAGCAGTGAAATTTGAACTTAGAAATTGAAAAATTCAGCTTAAATCTGAAAGATGCAGAAGCTTACTGGACGCACAACGTACGACCTGGACAGAAGCTTTTTGCTCTCTGGAAGGCAGGTCTTCATAGACAGAGCAGTTTCTCCAGATTAATATAGTCACAGAATGAGCAATGTTGCAAGTAAGTACATTAATGCTCTAACTGCCTGCTGACATTCCAATGATATAATGTTCTAACTCTCCTTTCCTTATCAATTATTTAGAAAGAGAAAAGAAAAAAGACTTTATTTCCCGTAAGATCTGCATTAAGCATTGTCTTCCTTGGTTCAGAAAAGAAAACAAGTTCAAACACTGAGAAATGAAAGGAAACTGAGTGAAATGAAATGAATTGCAAAATGAAATAAAAAAAATATTAGCAAAAGATAACCACAAAATATTGGTTTTGTTTTCTATTTATGTTTACCATTACATTTAAATTCTGTCATAAAATGCTGTTTATTCCAAGAACTTACAATAAACTGGTAGCTTCAATGAAGAGTAGTAAAGTGCCGTAAAATCAACATGTACTCACAATGAAAGAAGATGGCTTCTACTCTAAAACAGTGCAAACAATGAATGCTTATGAAGTACGCAGAACTGTAAGAATCAAGAACTCTGTATTATTATACTGGAAGATTGATGTATCTGCTAACTATACTATCTGACCATATGGTGCTATCTCATGGTGTTCACCTGGGCCCACTGCTCAAGCCTGTCTAGGTCCCTCTGGATTTAATATTCCCTTTTATAAATATGGGTCCTACACAGTGGCAGGAGAGCAACATCTTCAAGATCATTACTAGCTGTGTAAGGTCACCTCCGTAAAGCACTCCTTTTTTAGATGGCACCACTGATCAGGCCACTTTGCAAGGCAATTCTGGCAATTGCTTTGGCCAGATGATCCAGGCACTTATTTCCTTACTTCTAATATGTTCCACAAGAAATGTAGACTGCTCTACTCCACCAGCCTCTAACATGGACCAAAGCTGGAGCAAACACAGCTGAGGTGTAATAGTCTACTTCTTCATCCAAGCAGTACAGTGTAGAGGTTTTTCTTTATTGTAATAAGGAAAAGTATTCTGAAATTTTCCAGCCATTGCTAGCTGGTCTGTTTTTCAAAGAGTAACAAATGAAAAATGCAAGAAATCATGCATGAAAAGCAGCAGGATTAGAGAAATCCTGTTTGCCTGTTCCTTTCCTCAGTGTGATAACACCTGAAAAGATTTTCTTCCAGTCAGATGTAACAGGAGGAAATCTTGTAGAAAGTCTTCTTTGTTGGGAGGATGTTGTGATGACTCTCCAAAACAAGCTAGCACTACATAACTGACCAATCTGTACAAAAAAAGGAAGATTATTTGTTAGAAATGAACTAAGCTTGAAGTGCAAGTCTGCTCTGCATGGATCTCTGTCTCCTGAGTCTTCTTTTAGTGATGTGGTAGCTGTACCAAATCCAGCACAATTCATAAAACATCTCCATTGATGGCAGAAAACTTTCACAAACATTATTTGGATTGCATTTCCCAAAGTTATTCCTTTGCGCTACTTGCTTTCTGGCACAGACAGCACAAAATTCTATCCTGGAAGAAGTCAGGAAAATATATATAAGAGAAATTGTTGTGTTAGACCAAGACTGTCTTGAGTGAAAAGCAAATAAATAATTAAAGAGAAAAACTGTATAGTTAGGACTGACAGTGCATGCTTTAGCTGCACTGCTTCTCTGTATGGTACTGAAAAACCCAGTAGAGACCTAGGATTAATTTACCATACTATGGATCTGCTGAAGTATTAAGCTATCTGGTCAGCTGGATCCATGCATGCTTTCCCCAGGACCCACTGGAATGAGCTAAGCTGATGCAGGTTAAGCATTTGCTATCTCACAGTTTGCCTAACATTATCGGATCTGTAAATAATTTAAACACACAAACACACTATGGGCATTGTTAAAGTTGTCAAATACTCTAAGACTGATCAGCTGAAAGGTGACAGCACTTGGAATAAACTGTCTTCAGTTGAAGGTCCAGACTGAGAAGCCCAGAGTGACTGTACATGCCCTTTAGTTGGTCTTGTTTATCTGCACTGCTCAAATTATCTTCTTCCCCTC